GTGGCCCAGAAAGCAATCAGGGACTGGACTAACATAAATCACAAAAAACACTGGGAATCCACAACTGGACTCAAACAGGCAAAAGGATTTATATCCGGACCCTCTGCCAAAAGAATGAGGGACCTGGTAAAATTAAACAGAGATCAATTAAGATGGGTGGGAGGATTACTTACTGGACCCTGCCACCTAAAAGGGCACCTTTTCAAACTGGGACTGACACGCGACCCAACTTGGGAAAAGTGCCTACAAGAAGACGAATCAAGCACGCGTATCCTATGTGATTGTGAGGCTATAGCTTACCTAAGATATCGCCACATGGGTCAATTCTTCATGGAACCAAGTGACTTTGATGATGCCCCCACAAATAAAGTCCTACATTTCACTCAAAGTGTAGGATTAATAAAGGGTTAATCCAAAGGGGAAGCACAATAGATCGTTGAAGGTCACGGTGCGAGGGCCGGTTTTTATGGCTCACCCCTCATACTGATACTCATACTCATACTGGAAGTGCCTACGCTGACTAAAGCAAGTGAGAACTGTATAGTTAATCAATCAGACAAAAGGAAAATTGAGTCAGCTGAAATTAAGTTTCTATGTCCATTAGCTGAATATACTCTGCTACATGAAAACTAAAATACAGACATACGTTCAGATTAAAAATTTTGAGTTGAACTATGAGAAGTGAAAGGCAAAAAGAAAACTGGTATGAACATATTTCAAGAATGATGACAGACTCCCAAAAATATTGCTAAATTATAAACCCAGAGGACACCAAATTATGGGACGACCCTGACACTGGCAGTGATGATGATGATGATGATGATGATGATGATGATGATGATGGAGGAGGAGGAGACAGACGTGGATGAGGAGGCGATATGATGGAAATATTTAAAAAATCAAGACAAGAAATTGAAAAAGTTCTTCTTCTAAAACAAGTACAGGACAGTTTCTCTCCTAGACCAATTTTCTCACTTATTTCATTTTATAACATTAACAACTTATTCACAGTGTAATAAAATGCAATATTTATGCCATCTGATATATTTTTTCAATGAGAATATTTTACCAATTACTATATACAGACAGCCCGCCTCTGTGGTCTACTGGTCGGCGTTTCTGGCTACAGATCAAGAGGTCAGAGTTCGACTCCTGACACTACCAGACTTTTCCTGAGAAGTAGTGGGTCTGGAACGGGCTCCACTCAGCCTCGTGATGATAATTCATGAGCTATTTCAAGGAAATAGCAGCTCTGGTCTAGAAAACCGAAATTAATGGACGTGGGGATTTGTTGCACCGACCACGCGACACCCTCCATCCGCAAAAGTCGGTATAGTTCGCTTGCAGACTAAAATCATGGAGTTTGTTTTGTTTTTATATATAGTGTGACATGTTGCGAAACGGAGGACCCCTACCTCCCCAGCGGCACGTGGCGGTAACATAGCGCTCGCGTAATAGGCGAGTCATCACCCCGCCACTCTCCCC